AAATATAAAGCAGGAATTCGATCGATACGACAATAGCACATCTTCCCTCCGTCCCGTCCCAAAAATATATCAAGTGTATTAGTTTACGTACGATCTTTGTTTGTTGTACTTTGACCAATTTCTCACCTTCCATTAATTATACTTATAACATTAATATAACATCACTTGAAGGTATTCTCTAATATATGAATTTAATGTCCTTACTTACTCGTGTGTCACTACACACTTGCCTCAAGGAGTCAAGGGCTCCTTTAGAACCAACAAAAAGAATAGGAATTATGAATGCGCTAGAAAATATTCCAGAATGGCTCATTGGAACAAAGGAAGACTAGGATAACCTATGAAATGGCTTATTCCAATGAAATTTTGGAGGGCAACTAACATGGCTCCTTTAGATCGATCTCATGTTTTTTCTTTCCGTGTGACTCGCAATGCCTATCCTTTTCCTATGGAACTACCAAACATTTTTCCTTTTTTGGAAAAATCACGTGGATTCATTTTCTATAGGAAGGGTTTGTTGTGGCATGAAATTACATTACTGTATATTTTATATTCCTATGTTGTCAAACATCAAAGGTTTAATAGCAATAATATAAGGGATTTTGAGTTTTTGCTTGCACTATTTGAACACTCGTCTTATTTAAAAAAATTTAAAATTATTATTATTTTTGACTTACTTTATTATCTAAAATACTTTAAGCACAATTTTTCGTTTTTTATATTTGCATAAATTTTTTGAATAAGACGAGTAGTCAAAATAGTGCAACAAAAAACTCAAAATCCCTTATATTTTGGGACGGGGGGAGTACTATTTAGTACAGTAGGAGTAATCTAATATTAGAAAAAAAATGTTTAAGACAATGATGGGTGGTAATTGTGATTAGCGCGTGTGGCGAGTTTGACAGCAAGCACGCACAGCAAAGCTACCCTTCCTCTCGTCTCGTGTCGTCACTCGAAGCCGCGCGCTAGGGTTCCCGTCTCCATCCCGCCGCGCCGCCGCGAATCCACCCCGCCGCCATGCTCGGGTTCATCGCCGGCAGGTTGAGGCGGCCCTCGACCCTGCTCACCGTCCTCCGTCCAGGCCCTGCAGCTGCCGCCACCAAGAGGAGCATCCACCACCAACTCGTCGACCGGCAGACCAAGAACGCTCCCTCGGCCGCGGCAGGCTGCATCTGGGCCACCACCGTCGCCGGTAGCTGCAGCAAGGCCGGACCTGCAGCGCCCAAGCTGCCGCTGTTGCCCGGCAACACCCCCACCCTGCGCTCTCCATCGGCCGCGGCAGGCTGCAGCTGGGGCCTCGCCACCGCCGCCGCCGCCACCGGCCCCAAGTCGACCGCCCTCGCCGCCGTCTGCAGCAGGGGCCTCGCCACCGCCGCCTCCGCCACCGCCGCCAAGTCGACCGCCCTCGCTGCCGTCTGCAGCAGGGGCCTCGCCACCGCCACCGGCAAGTCGACCGTCCTCGCCGCCGTGCGCGCCAAGATCGTCGGGGTGGCCGTGGCGCTTCGACGCGTCATGGTGGGATCCCAAAGGGCCCACATCGCTTTGGCTCGCCTGGCAAGGATCTACCGGGGCGATGGTTCCACCATGCCGCGGGTGGCCACCGCCGCCGACATGTCCGTCGTGGAGGCGCCTTCATCTTCTTCTTCGCCCTCGCGTGCTCACTGTGAAGGCCAGCAAGGCTGTGAAGGATGGAGCTGGAGACCTGGGTGTGTACGCAGACAACGATATCATCAAGGCAATGAAAGTCCTCTTCATTCAGCAGGAGTAAGAACTAAACCAGGCCTATAAATTCTTGCGTTTCTTTCTGTTTTATTCACATAAATAGTTAGGCTATGTTTAGTTCCACGCTAAAATTGAAAGTTCAAAAAAATTGGAATGATGTGCCGGAAAAGTTATAAGTTTGTGTGTGTAGAAACGTTTGATGTGACGAAAAAGCTAGAACTAAACAAGGGCTTATTTTGTTTATCCCAGAACGTGTGCTCGACATTCTGTACCTTTTGCTTTAATTTATGCTTGGTTCTAGGTCTTGCTAGGAGATAAGAATTCTTTTCAAGTGCGAGCCAGGGAGATATGAGCAAAATTTGAACCTCTGAATTTATGTTTACCGTGCTGAAAATCGTCTGCTTTTAATACAAATCATCATCCGAAGCTGAGGATCTGTTTGCCCATTTGTTGTGGTTTGTGTATGACTGCAGTTGCTCGTGTCCTGTCCAATCTTTTAGGAATTTAATCTGTTGCTATGCTTTGTGTACGGGTGTGTTTAGTTAACGCTACAATTGGAAGTTTGATTGAAATTGGAACAATGTGATGGAAAAGTTGGAAGTTTGTGTGTGCAGGAAAGTTTTGATGTGATGGAAAAGTTTGAAGTTTGAAGAAAAACTTGGGAACTAAACCAAGCCTTAGTTTTCAAATTTTTCTTCAAACTTTCATCTTCTCCATCACATCAAAACTTTCCTACATACACAAACTTTCAACTTTTCTGTCACATCGTTCTAATTTCAATCAAATTTCCAATTTTGATGTGAACTAAACACACCGTAAACCAGGCCTAACTCTCCTCCTTTTTTAATCACAGAATCCTTATTGGGAAAATGCTCGCAAGTTACCTCGAAAAGACTAGGCGTCGACAGTCGACTATATCACTTGGCTTTGCAGGCATGCAGGTGCTTGTATGCACCTTTGTGGCTGTGAGGTTCGAAGGGGCAACGCCAGCTGAAGCCATCTACAAGAATCTGAGTTATCTGGAGGTGTTCTTCAAGACCTCACTTCTGGCCGTGGGAGATGCTGTGAAGCTGTGGGTGCAGCAGCAGCCATCGCATGACTGCGACATCAACGATGGATTTTCTACTTAGTGAATAGTTAGTTAATCTTGAAGTGTATTTTGTGTCTTGGGTGCTTTATCTGATTGAACTTGAACCATACCTTGTTGAACTGGCCAAAGCGTGAAGATGTTGGAAGATGTCTGAAAGTTGATTGCACTCAAATCTGGCAGGCCATGGTGATTTGGTGGAAGGAAATGTACTCATGGGTATTCCTGAGATTGCCTGCCTGTGTGATGTTGCAAGGTTTGCTTATATACCATGTTTCATTTGGCAAATGAATTATTCATTCTATCATAAGCATTATTTTCTTTTATGCTACTTTTCGTACCATTGTTTTATTTTAGGACAAAACCTTCTTTTGAGGCTGGTAAAGTACTTCATCCCAATCAAATTATCTTAGCTTCTGTTCAGTCATCCCGCGGCAGACTGATCGAGTCATGCATGTCGAAATCTGCTTCCAACGTCCGCTTCCTTCAGTTCGTTCGTTCGCCCGGCTGGTTGCGCCATCGTGGAATGACTCCCGCGAAGCAAAACAAGCGATCGCCCGTGTGTCTATATATATAGCTATAGCAAGCAGATCGATTCGTTAGTTCTGAGAGAGACACACACAGCGCCGGAGAGATGATCGAGTAGTAGTAGTAGTAGTAGTAGTAGTAGTAGTAGTAGTTCTTCCTCGCAGGTTGAGATGGTCAGGAGATCGAATTAATTGCAATATATGGTTGAATTAATTGCAATGGCAATTAAGCTAGGAAAAAAAAAACCAAGCTAATCAATCAATCCTGTGCATGGTATGGCAGTCTTCTCCAATACAAAGATACAAGATCATGCACAGTATATTCACAATGTAAGTCTGTGCATGCATGTATGTATATACAGTTTTTTGAAAGCAAATACAAGATCGACGACATGACCGGGATACAGGCTGCAGGGTCCGTGTAGCTAGGAAGATCATGCATCTGTACTGGGTAATGTTCAGTACAAAGACACCTCAAGGACCTGTACTGTACTAAGGTGGTATGGCAAACAATCGTCAAGAGCTCCAAGTAGGACATCCTGATGACAAGGTTCTTGATAGATCAAGAATGGCGGCTGATCAACATGGTGAGTTAAAAAAGATAGACATATTTACGTGGAGATCTCTTGGATTAAGTAATACAGGAATTCAGGATTTGTTGCTTCACGAGAAAACTTAGGCCTGTGTAGTCAGTGGCGAACCCAGAACAAAAATTACCGGGGGTCCAATACATACTAACTATCTAATTATTGACTAATATATTAATTAATATAGTGTAATTTATATAGGATTTGAATAATCTACCCGGTGTCCTGTGACACCGGTAGTATAACGTAGGCACACCCCTGTGTGTAGTTCCCACGCAAAAACTTTTTACCATGTCACATCGAATGTTTGGACACATGCATGAAGTATTAAATATAGAAAAAAAATTAATTACACAAATTGCGTGTAAATTTACGAGACGAATCTTTTAAGCCTAATTGCTACATGATTTGACCATGCGGTGCTACAGTAAACATTTGCTAATTACGGATTAATTAGGCTTAATAAATTCGTCTCCCAGTTTACAGGCGGAATTTGTAATTTGTTTTGTTATTAGTCTACATTTAATACTTCAAATGTGTGTCCGTGTATCCGATGTGACACGCCAAAATTTTGCACCCTGAATCTAAACACAGCCTTAATTTTTCTACTTTGTGTTATAGTACATCAGTACTAACAATACTCGAGTGCAATTAATGGTACTAAGCCAGGTTTTGCCTAAAGAAATTGTTGTAGGTGCAAACTGATTCTCTTTTAGATGCCTTGACCTAGCATGTCAATTGTCAAAGACAACCATCAATACGAGCAAGTCTTGTTCTACATTGCGCGCTGGTGGTGAGTGGTGACACCGAGTATCTGTAATGGATCAAGAGCAACATTAAAATAAACCGATCGATTTGGTCTACATATTGCTATATTCCGTGAAGAATGTGTTTTCATAGGAGATTTAGATAATGATTTCATTGTAATTTTAGCTTTTCCGTTGCAATGCAGTCACCTGTGCTAGCGATGGTAAAATATTCAAACATCAGTACTAAGATGTCGATGTAATTTTAAAAAACCTAAACGCCGTGAAGCTGATGCTCAGCTGCTGCGGTAGTGGTAGTTTCATGATGAGGTTGAAGTAATAGATTTGTGAATTCTCCTCGAAATGGTGGAACGAACATCATTGAAATGTCTCCAAATGGCATCACAGTATTTGAATAAAGTTGTTCCTGAACCTATTCATATTATAGAAGGTAGACAGTATAGAGTGTAGCATTGAACGCGATGAAGTTGCCAATGATTTCATACCACATCAGCTTCCCCTGGCGCTTGTCCCCTTCTTCCATAATCTGTTCAAGTATGCGCCTTGCAGGCAGAGGGAAAATGAAAAAAAAAAGCCATGAGACGCAAGCTCTAGAGTTAAACATGCATGTTGGCAAATTAAAAGGAGAAAAATGATTATTAGATATTAATGCTGAACTAGAACCATGAATCAGCGCCATACCTGCCCTCTCCAGGAACTGGAGTGCCATCTTGGGCAGTAGCAGTGCTGCTAAGCTTACCCTTAGCCTATATATATAAGGCAAGAGAGACAGAGAGAGTCAGATGGTGGTGCAATGTCAAACACAAACCAATTACTACGAATAATTAATAAACTCAGATGGAAGAGACTATATACAGGTACAGGTAAATAACTGAGGTTTGCATCTAACATAAGTTAGAGTCACTGGTTTGATCATAATAGAGCTGAAGAAAATAAGCCCAGCGCGGCGAGTATCATATGAGGACAGTAAATGCTAGTACTTGTTATTGGTAGATAATACTGATAAAAAACAGCTCGATCTGTTCATCTCGAAGGGGAAAAAAAACAGAGATCGGGGTTTGTTCATCTCAGGGGAAATAAAAGATTTTGAGTTAAATTAGGTCAACCAACACAGAGACAACAAAACACACAAGGTACTATAGGATAATTTGAATGAACGAAATTAAGGGTCCAAAGGTTCATTAGGGGTAATAACACTAATCTAATCGGAGAGGTGAATCGCTAGAACATGTGCGTGCAAACCGCGAGATACAAGAGAAGGTGGTGATTGAACGGGCCAATTATCATCGCACATCATCAGAAAGAAGGGATTGATTAGGTTAATAGCGAGGGGAACGAAGCGAACCTGAGGGGCGGTGGATGAAGAGCGAAACGGCGGGAGAGTCCGGCGGGAAGCGGCCGCCGGGATCCGCAGCTTGGTGAGGAGAGAGCGCATGGCCATGGCGACACGGTCGGATCGGGAGGAGGCGGCGGCTAGGGTTTCGACGGCGACGGCGACGGCGGAGGCGGCGGCTAGGGTTTCGGTCTTCGCCCCACCGGGGATCTGTTCCCTTTATAATAATTATTAGTTTATTTGTTAGAAAAAAAATCTCCTCCGTAACCGAAGTACAGTAGGACTAGTGGTAATGGGGATCTCCGAACCCGACCTCTTCTGGCCTGGCCCATGGGCCCCTTCCCCTACCTTGCGGGCCCCACCTTTCTCTTTTTTTTTTCTTCTTCTTCTTCTTATTATTATTATCCGTTACAGCTTCAAGCCTCCAACACAAGCAAGATAGTTTATGGCTCTCATGTATCAATGGCAAAAAAAAATATCCGTACATTGCAATAGGTGAAAACTATTTTAATTTTATTATTGTTACTAGTAAAAGTATCCGTGCGTTGCAACGGGAAATATAAAGACCAGAAAATTAAGGAAAAGTTAAGAAAGATTTACATTATGTAATTAATTGAAATACAAATTTCCTAAGATATCTGGGTATTTTTTAAGTAGCTAGGTGTATAATAATTAAATTACTAGCTTACAAGTAAAGTAAGTGTGAAAAATAAAATGATATGGTTGGAATTAATTTTATTAAATTCCCCACGATTAATTACGCTCTTTGGAATTTTATTGGAATTTCCGAACTTAATTGCTAATTTTAATAATACAAACATCATTTCAACATTTATTTAAATAAAAATCTTCCTTTCTATTTGGGCCTTTTTCAGCCCATTTTGTTCTTCAGCCCGCAACCGAGCCGACTGTAGCGCCCGTTCCGTCGTGGCGCCTAGCGGGAAAAATTATCTCTTAAAAATCCTATTTGCGAAATCTGTTTCTTTGCTTGTTGTCTAGTGTCCGTGCTTTCTCAGATCTTAAATCCCAGATCAATCGTCGAGTTCAATCCCGAATCCAAATCCTTCCCAAATCAATTCCTCCGCAAAAGTCTATTTTGCCTCCCTCGGGTTCGATGGGCCGAATCTCTCTCGGCCCATCTTCCCCTCTCTCTCTCTCTCTCTCCCTCTCTCCCTCGCTCTGCCCGCGCGCCGCGCGCGCGTGCGCGTAAGCCGCACCGAGCGCCCCCCCTCGCTCTCCCTCTCCCCACCGCCATCCCTAGAGAGCTCCCCGCCCCAAAATCGGCCCCCGCGCGCCGTTGCTCGCGTGCGCGCGCCCGCGTGGTCGCCGCCCGTGCCGCGCCTGCGCCGTCTGCGCCGCCCGGGCCCGCTGCCCTGCCGCACCTGTAGCCGCGCAGCCGCTCGGCCCCGCGAGTCAGCACGCGTGCCGAGCCGCGCCGCTCAAACCGCCGCGTCGCACGTTGCTTTCCGCGCGCGCGTGCCGTGGTGGCCGACCGCCTGGTCGCCGCCGCCGTCAGCCTCTGCCGCGCCTGCCCGCGCCTGCCGCCCGTGTCGTCCCCCCGCTCCAAACCACCCCACCGTCATCGTCGTCGTCATCGACTCGGCCCGCCCCTCCACGCGCTAGCTTCCAAGGAGAGGAGGCAGAGCTCCTCCTCCCTCTGCCGCGTCACCCCCCCGCTCCCTCCTCCTTTTCCCAAAGCGGCAAGGAGGCAAGCCCCCTTTCCCTCTTCCTTTCTTCTTTTTCCTCCTCTCGCCGGCGTCACCTCCTGTCGTCGTTTTGGCCGCTAGCCGGGCGCCAGCTCGCCGGCTTGACCGTCCAATGTCGGTTCCCCTCTCCCAAACCGACATTGTCGCCCCTATAAACCCAAGCTCCTCCCTCCTCCAATCTCCCTCGTTTTCGTCTCTCGCCGCCACGCCATTGTCACCGCCTCCCGTGCTCTGTTTGCCGTCCCCGTTCGTCGTTGCGCGTGTCGAAGGAGCCGGCACGAGCAAGGACGCGGAAGGGGACTCCGGGCACGCCCTCCCCCTCCTCTTCCTCGGCCAGAGGCCGAAACGATCACGTTTCGTGCCGTCGGCTCTCGTCACTGCGCCCACCCGCACGGTAGTGCCTCCCTCCGTTCTTCCTCCTCGTTCCACCTCCTCCCCTTAGACTCGGGTAGTAGCACGAGTAGCCTCCCCGTAGCTAGCCGGCGCCGCCCCGACCGTTGCCGCCGCTCGCCGTGTGCTCGCCGCCGTCGCCGCCCAAGCTCGGAAGCGCCTCTCGTCGCCGGCCTCCCTCGATGCGTTTCCTCCTAATCCGGCGCAAGGGACGGATTCCCGTAGCCGCGTAGAAGCTCTCGCCGCCAGGAATCGGCCCCTCGTGACCTCGTCGCCGTTTTCCCCTTTTCTCTCCGCCGGTTGCCGCCGCCGCAATCCGCCGCCGTCGAGCTCCCTCCGGCGAATCCGAGCCGTTGGCTCGACTCCTCTCGTCCCGTGCAACCACCCGGTGTGCTCGTTTTCGCCTGTATCGCCGTGGTTCGCTCCGCCGCTCGCCGCTGTCGTCCGCCGTCCGTTCCGGCCGGCGTCGTCGTCTACCTCCCGCCGGCCCGTGTGGCAGCCACGTCGGCGCCAGCTCGGCCAAGACCGGGTCGAGCCGACCCCGGTCAGCCGCTCCCCTCGGCCCCACTCGCGGGCGCGGTCCACCGCGAGCCGTGAGGCTGCGCGTGGGCCCGCCGCATCCGCGTCCTCCGCGAACCGCGCGCGTGCACCGCGTCCCTCCCCCAAACCCTAGCGGGCGCCGCGTGCGCGTTCCGCACGGTGAACCGTGTCACCAACAAGCGGGTCCCACTCGGGACCACGCGAGGTGAGCCCGGTCCACCGGCTCCCTCTCTCCTCCCCGCCCGCGCGCGCGCTCTGGGCCGCCTTGTTGGGCCGGCCGGCCCATTTAGCTCGGCCGAGCCGCCCCTTTTCTCTCGGGCCGCGCCCTAGCCTCCCGAGGGAAGTCTAATTTTCCCCCTCCTTCTTTTCTTTTCTTTTCTTTTTCAAAAAAAGGATTTAAGTAAATCCTTTTCCTTTAGACCAAAAATCCAATAATCTTATAAATTCAATATCTTCCCAACCGTAAGTCCGTTTGACTCCGTTCAACTTCCAAAATTCCTCAAATCTCGAGATCTATCTAATGGCACGCTTAGAGGTCATTAATAGGGCTTTATTTTCGCCGTTTGTTGAGTTGTCCCGTTTTGCGTATAGTTTCGGAGCCCGAAGACCCGCAGTGCGAGGATTTCGAGGATCAAGCTCCAGATCTCGAGCAAGGCAAGCCACCTTTGAATATCTTGAGCCTATATTTGAACTTAATTATGTTGCTTGAAAGATTATTATGCATTGATAGGATCGCACTTAATCTGCTTGTCCCGTCTGCAAGGCAGATTGACGGACCTACCTAATTTGTTGCATTTGATCCTTCCTTTGTTAATTGTTATACCATGTTCCCTTGTAACCACCCAGTTGCGCCTCGGAAATCGTGCACTCTGCACGAGTATCGACGGCCGCCTTCAAACTTAAAATCTGAAAAAAACATCTTGGGTAAAACTTGGGTTTTACAAAAGACTTGGAAAACCCGACACCTGGGTCGGTGCTTGCGAACTAAATGAATTTCCAAAATCGCGGACCGGGGAACGTACCGGGTGTACGGTTTCCCGCTCTTGCACCTAAGGACCGTTTCCTTGGAATTTCATCCGAACATAAGACAAGTACGACCACATGGGTGGAATGGGACACCCCTGGCTGAGTAACTAGCTTATCAGGGGAGCCTTGATGCCGAGAGACATGTGGATTCGCCGGGGTGGTGTCGGGGAGGACCCCTGGGCTTCCTGGCACAGTATGGTCTGGGACCTAACCTGTTGTTGGTCTGGGACCCCTCTCGTCGGCATATGGTAAACCTGTGTCGGCTTTGGAAATGCCTTGTCATGAAAGCTTGGAGGTCTCCCGACGTGGCTGATCCCCACGGGCTGGGTGATCCGGGTTAGTAATGTCGTGTGGGTAAAGTGTACCCCCTCTGCAGAGGTTAACAAACTGTTCGAACAGCCGTGCCCACGGTCATGGGCGGATGTGAGGTGATTCCTAGCGTAGTTTTGTTTGACTACTGCTTGTGAAATTGCTGTTGTGGAAAGGGGATCGATGTTTGGAAAATCTGCAGCTGATGGGATCAGCTAGGCCCGGGTGGCCGTTTGAAAGTTGTTGGCCTGGGTGGTCGTTTGAAAGTTGTTGGCCGGGTGCCAATCTTGATCAATTCTAAAGACTGATACATTTGCACATACTCCGACCGGACGAGACGCACTGTCTCATCCGTGTCGTTTGAGAAGCACTCACTTAGTTATTTTCAGAAAAGAGTTCAAATAAAATCAATTGCAAAAACAACAGCCTTTCCTTGAAGCCTGCATTAAACACTTATTTCCCATGGCTTGCTGAGTACTCCCGTACTCACCCTTGCTCTATATAAATAACTCCCCCCAGTTGCTGAAGAAGATGAAGCGGATCCCACTGACGAGGAGTTCTTCTAGGAGCAAGCCGGCTACGTTGAGTTTTAGGGTTTCGGCCTAGTTCCCAAGTCGCGCCTGTGTTGTTTGGTCCAAGTCTTGGCTTCCGCTTCCCTTTTGTAATGCAGTTGTGAGCTCGGGATCTGTCCGCAGCCCAACATGACTGTACTCCTTCTCTATATTAAAGAGACCTCTGTTGCTGTGATATTCTGTCTTCCTATGATACCAGCACTGTTTCCTGGGACTGGTATCGATTAACAGGTTAATTTGGAGCGTCACGGGCTAGTTCCGGTCGGGACTAGTTCGGGGCGTGACACCGACCTACATGCGGCTCATGAAGCGAGCACGGCCTAGCAGTGATGCGGCCCGATGATGGATGCTGGCCCGACGCGGGAGCGATCTGAGCCGTTCATTTTGATGGACGGCTCAGATCGGCTCCTAATCCATCAAAACCCCCGGACCAAATAAGCCCTAATCCTAATTCCAGTTTTCCCCTTCCTCCCCTCCACGCAGGCCGCCTCTCTCCCCACCGGCGCACCTCTTCGTGCCCCTCCCCACCGGCGGTGCCCAACGGATGGCGACGGTAGCAGCCTTCCCCACCGAGCAGCGGCAGTGGTGACGGCAACCTTCTCCCCCGAGCAACGGCAGCGCCCTTCCTCCTGCGAGCATCGGCGACGGCGGCAGCAATGCCTTGCCCTCCCGCAAGCGGCGGACGCGGCAGCCTCCCTCGCGGCGAGTGGCTGTGGCGGCGCCCTCCCCCACC